TGCAGTAGTCATCTTGTGATTACTGGCATAAACTGTTCTTAAATACCCAAATATTACATTATTACATTACATTATTTAATGCTTATGCATGTGCTGTGATGGTGGCTTTTGTCTGAATATAAATGCTAAACGAAGTATTAGTTTTTGTTAGTTTTTCCTTTTTCATGGGCTGTTAGAATGTACGCAGTAGAGGACACATTTACCATGCCACACCTTAACAGTTATAATTCAGTGAAAAATAATGGATGAGGAGTCTTTTTAAAACAGTTTCGTCTGTGCATTATTCAGTCTTGGCCCTGACTGGCTTGTATATTAGATGCTGTGTCAGATCTCCGCTGCTATGAAGGCTCGATTGAACTTTGGGAAACAGAATTGGATCTTTCTCTCCCACTAATAACCAAGGGCGACAGACCATCGATCGGCTAAATTAGCAAGCTCTGAAGGTTATCTGACAGAAACACAATAAAGGAACGAGACTGAGTAGGTTACTGGCTGTGAGGGACAAGTGTGCTCACCTCAAAGAGGATGACAAGCCATACATTTTAAAATGTGACCGTGCTACAGAGTTGGATTCCTCTAAAGAGAAGCCGTCCACTGCTGAAAGGCAAAGGAAAGATTTTTTACATCGTTTTTTTACAGTCAGAGACGTGCAGCTCGGTCAGGAGCAGGTGAGTTCAGCTGAAGGATGAAGGTTAAGACAGAGGTATTTGGTTTACGTGGCTGAGAACAGGAATGAGTGGAATGTGAGAGGGAAATGAGATAAACCCTGATTATCTATAGAGATGGTAGAGATGGTTTAACAGCAGAAAAGACCGTGTTGAGAAATTACTTTTGCTTTGGGAAGCTAGACCACACATCATGTCTTCTTAACGATTTCAGTCAGTATGAATGAGAATTCTGACAAAATCCTGATCTCACATCTGACCTAAACTAAGCAAAGAGCAGGTTTTGTTTACTAGTGCAGTGGATTTTAGGTGAACGTTAAACAGGAATTATAATTTCACAGCAATGTTTAATGCTGTCTGATTCTGTTTTGTTCCTATATGTTGAATATGTATAAAATAATTGAAAACAGTACATAGACAAAACAGCATCCCAGAGAGGCTGTTTCAGAGAGTGTTTCAGAAGTAAAGTGGGGGGGGGGTTCACCAGTCTGTGAAAGACTGCAGGATCAAATAGTGCAACAATTTAAGAAAAATGTATCTCAATGGAAAAAAGTAAAGAACTTGTGGGATTCATCATCCACAGTACATAATAAAATCATTGATTCAGAGAATCCAGAGAAATCTCTGTGTACAAGGGAAAAGGCTGAAAACCAATATTGGCTGGCCGTGATCTTTGGGCCCTCAGGCAGCACTGCATTAAAAACAGACAGGATTCCATAGTGGGAAACACTGCATGGGCTTATAAACGCTTCCAAAACTACTGTCTGTGAACACAGCTTGTCACTGCATCCACAAATGCAAGTTAAAACTCTTCCATGTGAAGAAGAAACCGTATATAAACAGGATCCAGAAATGCCGCTGCCTTCTCTGGGCCTGAGCTCATTTAAGAAGGACTGAGGCGAAGTGGAAAAGTGTCCTGTGGTCCAACAAATCAAAATCTGAAATTCTATTTTGGAAATCATGAATGCCAAGTCCAATGGGCTAAAGAGGAGAGGGACAATCAGGCTTGTTATTAGTGCACAGTTCAAAAGCCAGCATCTGTGATGGTATGGGGTGCATTAGTGCACATGGCTTGGGTGACTTGCACATCTGTGAAGGCTATAATGATATAAACAGATTTTAGAGTAACATATGTTGCCATCCAGACTACGTCTTTTTCACGGAAGGCCTTGCTCACTTCAGCAAGTCAAAGCCAAACCACATTCTGCATATATTACAACAGCATGGCTCTGTAGTAAAAGAGTCTGGATGCGAAACTGGCCTGCCTGCTGTCCAGTCTGTCATATACTGAAAACATCTGGTGCATTATGAAATGAAAAATATGACAAAGGAGATCCCGAACTCTTGAGCAGCTGGAATCCTATATTAAGCAAAGAACAGGAAAACATTTAACCTTCAAAACTACAGAAATTGGTCTCCTCAGATCCCAAAAGCTTACAGAGTGCTGTTAAAAGAAGAGGTGATGCAGCACAGTGGTAAACATGTCCCTGTCCCAACTTTTTTGAAATGTGTTGCTGGCATCAAATTCAATATGGACATATATACAAAAACAATCAAATTTCCCAGTTTCAACATTTGTTATGTCTTTGTACTATTTCCAATTAAAAATAAAGGGTTTGAATGATTTGCACATCATTGCATTCTGTTTATTATATATATATATATATATATATATATATATATATATATATATATATATATATATATATATATATATATATGTATATATATACACATATATTCAATGTGATAGTCTAACTTTTACTTTGAGTGTCATGTCAGAGGAACAGTCTGCTTCTATTATGGTACAGAGATGACTCCCCATAGCCTTTCTGTCTGGTTAAAACACCAGGTCAGCATTTGTTTGCTCTGTTTCAGTGAGAGTAATGGCCCGGTGAGTTTAGGAGAGTAGGAGGAGCAAAGCCATGTGCTGTGTGTGTGTGTGCAGTGGGACAGTGTTTACCCTGCTCTCCACAGAGACCAGAGACTGGGGGCTCCTTGTTCTCTCGCTGATGTCATTGGTATTTTTATATTCCACAAGTAATGGAGCTCTCAGAGTTTCAGGATTGAGTTAAAAAGTTCCAAAATGAAACCAGAAATGAAAACACTGATTTTTACTCACAGCTGAACTACCTTTCACTACCTTCTTTCTTTTTCTTTTGTTTTAAATTTCAGGCCTCTTTGATCAAAGCCCCCGATTGACTAAACCAAGATGTAAGTACTCCTTCATACCACAGAGCTGCTCAAATACAGACTCACTCTATTTGTGTGTAGGTTCCAGTCTGAGCATGGAGGTTACAGAGTTGGAATTCTCAACCTTTCTGGTAGTATGTGCTGATATGGAAACAGATGGTGCTCTCAATGGACCTAATTACCTAATGGCCTTCTTTTCATTTGCTTTTAACTAGTAATCTGTTCTATATAGTACTAACGATACAGCTTTTTACCAGATAAAGGACAATAAATTCCTAATCATGGAATCTCTGGATTACTCAAACAGTAGCCTGGAAAGCTTGTAGCTGACATGACTGTGAATGCTGGTTGAATAAAATGTGTTTGAAATTCTTATGTTCAGAATGCAGTGCACTGTCTGAGAGCTGGCTGAGTGCCCTCTCAGAACACAAGCACACAGACCAAAATATGGCTAATGGCTGTCTCATGGAATTCATGAAGCAAAAACACTAGGCCAGGATAAATTTACCTTTGCTAAAGTGTGAAACTATTACAGATACTTCCTTCAGATCATGGGTCAAAGATCAGGCGCAAGCACATATTCAGACTCTCTGTCTTTGTGCCAGTTCATAATTAGATTTAGTAGAAAAGGAAGAGCTTTGGAGACACAGTTACCCAGAAGGTGAGCTTTTAGGAGCTTTTATGACATCCCATTCTAAATCCGTATAATATTGAGTTGGTCCTCCCTTCACAGTTATAACAACTTCCACTCTTCTCGGAAGGTTTTCTACAAGATTTTATAGTGTGTGGGAATTTTTGCCCAGAAGAGCATTTGTGAGGTCAGACACTGATGTTGGATGAGAAGGCCTGGCTCGCAATCTCTGTTCTAGTGCATCCCAAAGGTGTTCAATGGGGTTGAGGGCAGGTCTGTGTGGGCCAGTCAAGTGTTTCCACACCAAACTCACCCAGCCATGCCTTTATGGACCGTGCTTTGTGCACCAAAGCATTTTGTGTCCAAAATGTACAGGTATACTAAATCATTAACATTTCCCTTCACTGAAACTAAGGGGCCTAGGCCAACCCCTAAAAAACAACCCCATAGCATTATCCCTCCTCCACCAAACTTTACACGCAGTTAGGCAGGTAACGTTCTCTTGGCAGTCACCAAACCCAGACTTGTCCATCAGACTGCTAGATAAAGAAGCGTGATTCATCACTCCACAGAATGTGTTTCCACTGCTCCAGAGTCCAGTGGCTGCATGCTTTACCCCCCGCATCTGACATTGTGTATCAGCCATGGAAACCCATTTCTTGAAGCTTCTAATGCACAGTGCTTTTGCTAATGTTGCTTCCAGAGACAATTTGGAGCTCTTGACTGAGTGATTCAACAGAGGACAGGCACTGTGCACTTCAGCATTCCCCGGTCCCACTCTGCATGTTTGTGTGGTCTACCGCTTTATGGTCGAGCTGTTGCTGCTCCTAGATGCTTCCATGTCACAATAATTGCACTTACAGTTGACAGGGGCAGATTTTGCAGGACAGAAATTTCCCAAACTGACTTGTGGCAGAGGCGACATCCTATGACAGGGCCACGTTTAAAGTCACTGAGCTCCTCAGTATGACCCATTCTACTGCCAGTGTTTGTCTGTCGAGACTGCAAGGCTATGTACTTAATTTTATACATCTGTTAGCAATGAGTGTGGCTGAAACACCTGAAGTCAATTATTAGGAGGGGTGTCCCAAAACTTTTGTATATATAGTGTATTTCTGATGAGATTAGATATACTCCACTCCTAAGGAAGAGGGAAAGTCAAAGGAAAATAATTTAAAAAAATGAAAAAAAAAAAGAATTTCCAAAACCAGAAACCAACGTCACCAAACCTATCCTTTACAGATAAACAGTACTTAAAGCTTTCATCTCTAAGAGGTCCATTACATTGTATATATATATATATATATATATATATATATATATATATATATATATATATATCTATATATATATATACATATATACATATATATACATATATACATATACATATATATACTTTCTGTGCTCTTTCTCTTGCGCAAACAGTAGAAGGTGTTGTTTTGTGAGTCCAATAAGATTTCAGTCAGTCTGCGCGCGTGCTGCCCACGTGACCGCCGTCTCCACGAAGTCAAACCGAGTCCGCACAGCGCGCTGTGCTGCTTTCCTCTTTCACTCACTCTCAGAGACCAGCTCAGCTCAGCCAGTGGGGGCTGCGGAGACCCGCACACGTCCTTGTTTACTCCTCCTGTACTGCCACAACCGAAATGCTACTCTCTTTGAGAAGATAACATTGTCCTGGCTGTGGAAGTGGACTGGAGCTCCTCACCCTGACCGAAAGCTACACGTGGGACGGAGGAGAAGTTAGCTAAACAAACCTTCATAGGTGAGTGTGGCTCTCTCTGTATTGCCCATTGCGCTTAACTCTTCCAAGGCGGTAAAGACGCCAGTATGCCGGTACTTTCATTAGTGCAGTCTTCATTGTATTAATGCTCGCGTTGTTGCTGCTCTACAGCTGTGAGTGTAAAGCTGCTTCTGTACTGCTTTATTTACTCAGACTGTTAGTCTGGAGTGCAGACTGAGCGTTCATCCTGTAAAGGGATGTAAACGCCGCCTGTAGATATAAAGATAAGAATTCGGAAGCAGAAGACTGATAATCACTACACGGTGGTCACCAAACGGAACATGAACGTGTGAAACAGTTCCTTTATAAATATGACCCATTGTACGTAAAATTATTGTGTAGGTAACGAACAAAAATCTTTTATTATTACCGTTTTTTCCCTAAAGAACACTGTCTAAGTAGGCTCATCAGTAATACACTAACACTGTGAAAATAACACTTCCTTATTTCTCAAGTGTCATCTGTCTGAGAAACTGCTAACCACAGTGAGGCACATATGGGGCGTGTCGTAATGAATGCCTTCTGTATGCTATACGTACAAAAGTATCCAGAAACCCTTCCAAATTAGTGAATTCAGCTACTTACTTGCACTAGTTACTGAAGCAGGTATTTAATTGTGCACACAGAGCTTGTATAGACTCCACAGAAATGGCTTTCCAGTAGAATAGGACCCCCTGGAGCAGCCGCACATGAGCCAGACCACCATGTCAGCTATGAGTTGAAGTGCCATTTGTGATCCATAACTGATCACCCTACATCACGTCCTGACCTCAGTAATGTAGAGTCCTGCTGGTGACATCCCTTTTTAACCAAATTAGTGCGTGGTCACAGTTTACTAAAGCGTGGGAACGGGTTACTAATGCATGGCCATGACTTAGTAAGGTGTGGGAATGATCATTATCTTGTTCCCACACCTTACTAAGTTGTGAGCATGACTTAATCAAAACTGATTGTCATTCCCACTCCTTACGAAGTCGTAGTCATGGTTTAGGATCCCATTCCCACTCTTATGTGGCCATGCAATTTTTAAGAAGTCATGTTACGACAGCTTCCACTGAATTTTTTTTCCAAATTTCTGTATAAATTTGTTGCTGAGATGTAAACAACATCGTTCAGAGTGGTTTGATATGAAGTGGCTAATTTGTAGAGAAACTTACCCGCTTGGATTTCTTTACAGTGATGGTGATGGGAACTAGGGGTCACAATGTCTACAACACCTGATATAGCCATTTTATTTACTATGCAATACCACCAGTGAACCTACATATGTCGTCTGAGCCTTTTTATGTAAAATTAATGATGGTAAAATAGTGGTAAGTACTTAAAAAGAACCTTTTATTTGGGGACTGTTTTGCCTCCTAACACCCTGTGTGTATCTCTCCACCATTAATGGCTTTTCAAAAACATATTACACCAAAATTTCATATCATAAAATTTCATAAAACGATGTTTCAGGCATCAGGCAGAGCATTCATAAACATTTCATGTAATAACTTTCTGTGATGGAGCTTTTAGATACATTCAGCCCCTTAGACGTTTGGTTCCTATCACCACCACTGTGAACAGTTCTGACTGAGTTCCTCTAAAACGGAGCATTTTACATTAAAGCACTCTGATTTACACATCTTAATGATTGAATTATACAGAAATTTTAGAAAAAAATCTGTGGTGTTCTCCTTTGAAACACTTGATTTCAGAAAAAAAATTGGATGGTCAGGTGTCTGTAAACTTTTGGACATATAGTGGAGCTCTGCAGCTCCCAGTCCTTTCTCTCACTCATACATGGGAAATATTTCATTCTGGTATCAAATGGAGGCTAGGAGGTATGTTTTCAGAGAGCAGGTGCTCTGGATTTATAGAATGTCTGCAAATTTAAGAACATTGTTCATGAACCTTTTACTTTTCTGCTGTCAGACTCTGCAGCTGCTCTAGTGTTGATGGACCACCTACTCATAACGAAAATGTTACTTCAGTGAATGAATCACCAGCCCGTATCAAAACTTTTAAAAGCAGCTTGGTCTGTCCATCTAATAGAGCTGTATGCTGTGTCTGACTTTCTGACTCTCAGTGGTGGACAAAAACCATGATATTTAATGGATTTATTGCTGCATTGTTTGTCATCACTATTTGCAGAGGGAGGACCATCTGGGTCACACTTTCTCTTTCTTTTGTGGGGCTGAATTGAGGCATTTGTTTTCATTCCTTTCTTCAAACCCATACTTCCAGCTCAGTGTGTACACACTAGTTTCTGTGAACATTTGTCCTAGGAACACAATGGAATGGCATTAAAAGAACAACATTTGCCAGAAGAATAATCAAACTTCCTTGTACATGTCAACAATACCTCTTTATGCAGTGGCTCCAAAAATATACAAAATAATTTATTCATTTGCCTATTGGTAAATGTGAATGATGTTCTTTAGGTTCTTTCATAAAATGTTTAACAGAATGATATTTTAGTTAGTATTAGGGGAAAGTATGTTTAGCACAACATCAAAGTGATTGGAGACTCTTTGTGTGGAAAAGAATTCCAGCCAGACTGCACTAAAGGTTCTGCACAGTGGTTGAAACAGACATTCCTTTGAGATTCTGGTGCGTGTTGACATGATTGTATGATGTAATTCCTGCAGATTTTTTAGGTGCAGTTTTAAGCTGTGAATCTCCCGTTCTGTGACAACCAGAGACGACTTTTGCTTTGTGACATGGTGAATTATCCTGCTGGAAGTAGCCATTAGAAGATGGGCAAATTATGGTCATGAAGGGGTGCACATGGTCAGCAGCAATACTCTAATAGGCTGTGGCATTCAAGCAATGATTGACTGATATTAATGGGCCCTAAAGCGCTGCCAAGAAAACATTCCCCACACCATTACACCACCTCCACCAGCCTGGACTGTTGGCACAAGGCAGGTTGGGTCCATGGATTCATTCTGTTGGTGCCAAATTTTGACCCTACCACCTGTGGGCCTAAATTCTATGAGCAGAAATCGAGATTCATCGGACCAGGCTGTGTTTCTCCAGTCCTCAGCTGTCCAGAAGTGGAACCTGATGTGGTCTTCTGCTGTTGTAGCCCATCTTCCTTGAGGTTTGGCATGTTGTACATTCTGAGATGCTTTTCTACCAATCAGAGATTGTACAAAGTAGTTCTGGGTAATCTGAGTTACTGGGTTTTATTGCCCCATTCTGACTAAAGACTGTTGTGTGTGAAATTCCAGGAGATCAGCAGTTACAGAAATACTCAAAACCAGCCTATCTGGCACCAACAATTATGCCACGGTCAAAAAAACTGATCACATTTTTCCCCATTCTGATGGTTGGATGGTGAACATTACCTGAAGCTGCTGGCCTCTATCTGCGTGATTTCATGCATTGCACAGCTGCCGCATGATTGGCTGATTAAATAATTGCATAAATGAGTAAGTGTACGGTTGTTCCCAGTAGAGTTCTCTGAGTGTAAGTGAAATTTGCTCACATTAGTTGAAGGACAAACTGAATCTCTTTCCTTTAAATTAAAGCATGACCTACTTTGAATGTATAGGAAATGGATTTTATAAAATTTACTATCCTTACTATGATGGGGCTCCTTAACTCTCATTTGGAAAATGAATAAATTAGGAACGGTGCTGCAAACTCTCATCTAGTGAAGGGAGCTGAAAAACGTAGCTCATTATGTAGAGGTGGTCTCCTTTGACATCTTCTGTTCATATCCACTGTAATGTGAAGTTATTGTGATGTAGGCCTAGCTTGTCCTCTTTAAAAGAGAAATCAAGGCTTATTGTAGTGAATTTTTATTTTTTGCTGGCTTATATAATGGAAAATTGGAGCGAAAAGATGGACAGTCTGCACTATTTTAAGCTTTGGAATGCTGTGTTACACAAATGATGCCATTAAGCGAGTCTGTATGCCCATAAACTGTACACTGAGAACAGCAGTGTAATTAAAACCTGAAGTTTTCTTTCATTTTGCCTCCCCAGAGCTACAGTCATACATGAAGTACGGTTCCTATGTTGGGGTTTTTGTTCTCCGCTTGTTTCACCACTGAAGTTATTCCCCTTAGAGAAGGCAGTTTATGTCGAGGGAGCTCAGCTCTAAAACAAAATGAAATTATTTGGCCACGTCCAGCTCCTTGATTCATGGCTAGCTGCTGGATCTTTGGCATGAGCTCTCACCTACTGCTGACTCACCAAGGCAAACAAATGGCTCCTTTTGTTGGGTGCGCTCTATAAGCTGCCATTATATCGTGTGCAGCAACTATTCTGAAAGGTCCCTCCAGATGTATGAACAGTGCATTTTACTCTAGTTTAGCACCGTTTTCTGTGGCTCCAAGTCCATTATCTCCCTCTTCTGTACTTAATTTCTGTGCATTGCTGCTGTGTGCCTACCTTCTTGAAGTTACAGTCTGTTTTTCAGGGAGCTGTTCTGCAGGCTGTTTAACAATTTATAGTCTCCTGCTGTGAAAGAAAGGACCGTAATGCGTCCTGTTAAGCCCGTTGCCTCAGTGCTGTTGTGACTTTTTGGGAGGTTTGAAACCTCACTCTGTTTTCTGGATGTAAATGATATTGGAGGTGGAAAATCATCACTCACCGTTGGCAGCAGGCAGCTAACAGGGTGGACAATGCACTCCGTTTATTATTTATGAGGGGCAACAAAAACCATCTGTGTTTTGTGTACGATCCATGTTCAAGATGTACTGTGGTGTTTAAAATCCAGCCTCCAGCACTGAACACAACAGACGTGTTCTCTGTTATTTAGGCTACGTTTGGCACCCTTACAGACTCTTACAGACAGGGTTCCACAGGTCTTATCTGTATTGCTGTGAAGTATTGCTTGTGCTGAGAATCAATAAGGGAAACACGGAGGAATGAATCAATGAAGAAAACGATTCGGAAGCTTGTACTGAAGCCAGACAGGAGGGAGAGAGCCGAGGAGCGGGGAGGAGGGGTTCAAGCCGAGTCCCAAGAGGGCAGAAAAGAGACTAGACC